TTGCTGCGGGCTCGGAAGGCAAAGGATGCTCTGCAGGGGGATCTCACCAAACTGAGCATGGGGATCTCACCAAACCAAACCTCACACAGGGATCTCACCAAACCCAGCACACGGATCTCACCAAACCCAGCACACGGATCTCACCAAACCAAACCTCACACGGGGATCTCACCACACACAGGGATCTCACCAAACCCAGCACAGGGATCTCACCAAACCCAGCACAGGGATCTCACCACACACAGGGATCTCACCAAACCAAACCTCACACAGGGATCTCACCAAACCCAGCACGGGGATCTCACCAAACCCAGCACGGGGATCTCACCAAACCCAGCACAGGGATCTCACCAAACCCAGCACAGGGATCTCACCAAACACCTGCAGGAGCTGGTGGGCACCAGAGCCCCCACAGGAGCGTGCACGGGCCGGGGGATGCTGTCCCTTCATCCCAGGGACATCCAGACAGCTGAGAGACAGCCAGGGGTGGGACACAGGGCTGTGGTGGGTGTGCAGGTCTGCAGCAGCTGCTGCTGCCAGCTCCAGGTGTTTGGGGAACACGGGACAGTGGGGTTTTACCAGATGGAAGTGAAGCCCTTGGCTCAGTGATCCCCTGGAGATGGAGGGTGCTAAGGAAGCTCTGCCAGGAGCAGTGCAGGGTTCATCTTCGTGTCACCCTCTGTCACCTGCGGTGTCTTCTCAGTGTCCACCTGCCCCGACCCCTCTGTCCGTGACTCCGCTGGGTGGTAGCAGGTGGCAGCAGCGTATTTACAACCAGACTGGACAGGAGCAAATTGCACTTTGTTGGCAATGAGTTGCTGCACCTCAGGTGGCCACGGGCCGTCACCAGGCCAGGGGAGAGGTCATCCTGGGGCTGCGCTGGCTCTCGCCCCCCTGCACGTCACTGAGAGCCCGCTGTGGGACAGAGAGGGAACGCTGAGTGTGGGGACAGCAGCGAGTGCCCAGAGCAGCTGTGGCTGCCCCATCCCTGGAAGTGTCCAAGGCCAGGCTGGGCAGGGCTTGGAGCACCCCTGGGACAGTGCAAGGTGTCCCTGCCCATGGCAGGGGGTGGGACATGGGGTGATCTTGAAGGTCCCTTCCAACCCAAACCATTCCAGGATTCTATGGGCAATCACATCACTGTCCCCTGGGCCTTGTTCTTCAGGCCTCCCCCACTGTCCCACCCTGGCCAGATGATTTTTATGTCAGAAAAGTTCCACCTCATCAGCAGCCTCTTACTCAGGTACAGCTGCTCACAAAATCCCATCCCGCTCCCACCGCTCCCACACAAATAACACTGACACTGCCTGCTGGAAAACCCCTTGGGAGGCTTCAACTCACCTCAAACTTGCTCATGAACTCTGCAAAAATGCCGAAGAAGGCTTCGGAGGTTGTCATTTTTGAGTCTTCCCCGAAGAAGGAGAGCACCTTGCTGAACTCCTCCATGGCCTTGTGCTGCAGCTCGTCCAGGGAGCGCATGGCAGGCTGGGCGCTCTCCAGGAAGGACTGCAGGAACCGGCTTAAGGACAAAGAGCTGCTCCATGGCAGGGATCGGGAGCCCTTATCGATCTCTTATCACATGGCTGGGCTCCATGGCAGGGATCAGGAGTCCATGGCAGGGATCAGGAGCCCTTATCGATCTCTTATCACATGGCTGGGCTCCATGGCAGGGATCGGGAGCCCTTATCGATCTCTTATCACATGGCTGGGTTCCAGCCCGGCTGGCAGCAGGGAGCCGCTGCACAGGCACGTGTGGAGGTGCCAGCAGGCTCAGCTGGCGCTGCCAGCACAGCTCTCAAGGACAGATGTCCCTGCACGTTCCGTGGCGCGTGGCACTGGGGCTGTGCCACCAAAACATCCTGGCTGAGGGCTGGGGGAGCTGAGGGACTGAGGGACGGGGTGAGAGCCAGCCCTGGCTGTGCAAGGAGCCCCCGAGGCACGGCAGGGTCCCCTGGGGATGTCCCCTCTCGAGGAAGGATACGCTCATGACAATGGCAAACCTGTCCTCGGCGGTGGCCGGCATGCTGTGACACGCCTTCTGGATGTCACCCACCGTGCTGTGCAGCTCCTTCAGCTCGGCTGTCAGCGTCCTCTGGTTCACTGCAGGACAAGAGCAGGGCTGGCACACGGGGCCTGGCGGCGTTCCCGTGGCCGGGGGTCAGTCTGTCTGTCTGTCTGTCTGTCCACACCAGTGTCCTGCTGTCCAGGCGGGCTGGACAACCAGAGCGTCCTGCTGGGACCAGAGGTACCAGGAGCTCCAGCTGCTCACAGCTGGAGAGGACAGGAGTGCCAGAAGGAGCCTGGGACATTCCAAGGCCAGGGAGCACAGGGCTCCCTGCGAGGGACACTGGGAGGGGACAGGAGGGACACAGGACAGCAGGACAAGGGGGGACACACTGGCAGGAGTCTGGGCAGCCTCCAGGGACAGAAGGGTTGTTTAAGAGTTAGGCCAGATACAAATTCCAGCTGGGAAAGCTCCAGGTCCAGACCTTCCTCAAGTGGAAATTTACAGCTCCAGGCCGGAATTTGCTCCTTTATTTATCCACTGTAGCACTAATTCCCAAGGGAATTGCTCACAAACAGCAGGGGATGCTGTGCAAGGGGAATGCAGCTCGTGCTTTGTACAGATTCAGTGCTTCATTTAAAATCACAGCCTCGTGGGATCATTGAGGTTGGGAAAGCCCCCTCAGGTGATGCAGTCCAACTGCTCCCCCAGCACTGCCAAGGCCACCACCAAGCACTGTCCCCAAGTGCCACATCCACACAGATTTTAAATCCCTTCAGGGATTTGGACTCCACCCTGGGCAGCTGTGCCAGGGCTGGGCAGCATTTCCAGGAAGGAATTTTCCCTAAAATCCCACCTGAACCTCCCTTGGCACAGCCTGGGGCCGTGTCCTGTGTCACACCTGAGCAGCACCACAGCAGCAGTGGGTGGAGAGCAGCTCCAGAAAGCGTGTGAGTGGTTTTTATTGCAGAAAATGGAGCTTTGGGTCCTTGCTCGACACAGCTGTGAGCGAGCTGTGACCCCTCCACACTGACCATGGCAGTGCTGGCACCTGCAGCAGCACCTGCAGCCCTGGATGGAGGCTGGGCCACAGCATCCCCGGGCAGCTGGGCTCGCTGTGCCCGCTCTGCACTCCCTCTGAAGCTGGGAGCCGGGCTTTGGGGTCAGAGGGGAAGGGCAGGGCAGGGGACAGAGCCCCGTGTGTGCCAGCGCCAGGTGTGGCAGCGTGGGATGGTGGCACCTCACTGTCACTGAGCTCTCCTCTTGCTCAGGACCGTTCTTCACTTCTTCTGGCTCCCATCCTGCTCCTGCCGAGGCTGAGCAGCCCCTGGCTGACCCCAGACCCAAACCAAACCCGGAGCCGCACGCTCCTTTACCTTTGGCAGCGAGCGGCACTGTCGGAAGATCCTTGGCAAAGCCCAGGAGCTCTGGGAAGTGTTGGCTGAGGGATTTGGCAAGAATGTGCAGGAAGGTGGATTTCCCATCCACAGTCTTGGTGGTGTTCAGCTGCAGCGAAGCAGAACAAGTGAGGACCCCCCTGCACACCCCCTGACCCAGCTCCCGTGGTTAATGGTTAAACTGGACGTTCCACGGTGCCACACCACGTGTGCCCGGATTGGTGGTGTGGAGATGTCCCTTCCTGCAGCCCAGGGCTGTCCCCACCCCTCAGGAGCCCCCAGTGCTCCAGGACCTGCTCCCACCCACAGCTGGGCCCTGGCTGAGACCCCAGACCCACAGCAGAGCCTCTCTGAAGCCCCCTGTGCCTCGACCCAGCCCCTCCACCCCTCTCTGGCACCCCAGGGTCTCTTGAGAGACAAGAGACGTCTCTCATGGGCACAGGAGCGAGGCTGGCTCTCCCTACCTCGGTGAGGAAGTTGATTTTAAATCCCGTGGTTTTGCTGGTCTTGGGCTGCCCGTTGTTCAGGTAATTCCCCATGGCCAGCACGAACTGGGAAGAGGAAACCAGGGAATGAGGGGCTGCTGGCCTCCTGCAGCCGTGTCCTCACATCCCCCAGCTCCTGGGACTCTCAATTCCTGTTCTCCACCCATCAATGTGCAGACAAACACTGTCCCCAAGGATTTCAGGAATTGCTGGGGGGTCACTGGCCAGGAGTTTCATCACTCATCTGCAAATGCCTCTGAGCACACGGCGACCTCGTTTATCCCACCTGCCTTTTTTTTGTTAAACCGAGTGAATTAACAGCAATTTGGGACAGCTCATCTCCGGAGGGTCACGGAGGAACTGCAGTGGGGTTTGTTCTGTGTCTGGTCCATCCCAGGAGCACAGAGACCCCTCCTCAGGGGATGGGCAGTGCGGGGGTGCCCAGGGTGGGACACTCCCGGGGGCTGGAGCTGCCGTGGGAGCTCCTGTGGGACGCTGAGGGTGACCGTGGAGGGAGGGAGCGCTCTGACCTCCAGGATCTTCGCCAGCTTCTTGCTGCTTTTCAGCTCTAGGGAGGCCTTGCAAATGCACTCGTAGCTGGCCTTGATCTCCTCGGTCTTCTCCTGCAGGGTGGTTTTGAAGTGCAGGCTGCGCAGGCGGATCTTGTACTCGGGTACGGCCAGCATCTGGGGCAGGAGGAGGGCAGGGTCACCATCCCCAGCAGCACAGCCCCTCCTGCCCGGGCTGGCCCTGCCCTGCTGGCCCGGGCACCTGCAGGAGCCACAGCTCTGGGGTGGCTGGGATGGGATCCATGGGATGGGATGCATGGGATGGGATACATGGGATGGGATCCATGGGATGGGATGGGATCCATGGGATGGGATGGGATCCATGGGATGGGATGGGATCCATGGGATGGGATGGGATGGGATGGGATGGCATGGCATGGCATGGCATGGCATGGCATGGCATGGCATGGCATGGCATGGCATGGCATGGCATGGCATGGGTGCACCCACACCCACGGCTGGCTGAGAACAGAGAATGAATCAGAGCTGGGCACTGTCACTGGCAGCAGGGAGCAAAGGTGCTGCTGGCTCTGCACCTCAAACCCAGCCCCTGGGAGCTGCCAGACCCCTCGGGGATCAACCCAGCATCACCCCCACTGTCCCAGCGCCACCAGCTCCTCCCAGCCCAGGTGTGAGTGTCCTGCTGTGGGGACACCAGGTGTGTGTCAGGGACACCCTGAGTGTGACAGGGACACTCCAGGTGTATCAGGGACAATCCAGGTGTATCAGGGACACTCCAGGTATATCAGGGACACTCCAGGTGTGACAGGGACACCCCAGATGTGTGTCAGGAACACCCCAGGTGTGACAGGGACACCTCAGGTGTATCAGAGACACTCCAGGTGTGACAGGGACACCCCAGCTGTGACAGGGACAGCCCAGGTGTGTGACAGGGACACCCCAGGTATATCAGGGACACCCCAGGTGTGTGTCAGGGACATCCCAGGTGTGTCAGGGACATCCCAGTTGTACCAGGGACACTCCAGGTGTGACAGGGACACCCCAGATGTGTGTCAGGAACACCTCAGGTGTGATAGGGACAGCCCAGGTGTGACAGGGACACCAGGTGTGTGTCAGGGACACTCCAGGTATGACAGGGACACCTCAGGTGTATCAGGGACACCCCAGGTGTGACAGGGACACCACGTGTGAGTGTCCTGCTGCAGGGACAGGGCACACACAGCCCCTGTCTCGGGGCACGCCCCTGCCCAGCACCTGCAGCACGAACTGGTCGGGCTCGCTCAGCTTGCCGGGGTTCTCCTTGTAGCTCTGGAAGCGCTGCACCTCCTCCCCGTCCGGGGCGTAGAGCAGGAGCTGCTTGATGTGGGACGGCTCCAGGCGATCCGTCTCCATGGTCATCAGGATCTGCCGCAGCTCCACGTGCGACAGCTTCAGGTGGGCGATCAGGATGGCTGGGGAGGGAGGCACACACCGTCACTGCGGGGACACCAACCTCGCCCCCGAGGGAGAGCTCAGCCCTGGGCTGCCCATCACTCCCCGGGACCTGCACAGGCCTCACAGGGACACCACGGGTGGCTCTGGTCCCACACCCAGCCGGGGAGGGGTCCCTGGCAGGGGGGTCCCACCAAGCCCACACACCCTCCTCCCTACCTGAAGCACATCCTGGAGAAGCAGCAGTGCCCCTCCACTGCCCCTGCCCAGGACAGGGAGCCACATCCCATCTCCATCCTTCCCCAGAGAGCTCCCTCCTTCCCCTGCCCGGGGCTGAAGGCAGCCTGGGGCAGCTCTGGGCTGCAGGAAAAGTCCATCCCAGCTGAGCTGGGCTCATGGGATCGTGCCCATGGCATTGAGCTCCTAAAGCCCATCCCAGCTAAGCTGGGCTCATGGGATCGTGCCCATGGCATTGAGCTCCTAAAGCCCATCCCAGCTAAGCCAGGCTCATCGATCGTGCCCATGGCATTGAGCTCCTAAAGCCCATCCCAGCTAAGCCAGGCTCATCGATCGTGCCCATGGCATTGAGCTCCTAAAGCCCATCCCAGCTAAGCCAGGCTCATGGGATCGTGCCCATGGCATTGAGCTCCTAAAGCCCATCCCAGCTGAGCCAGGCTCATGGGATCGTGTCCATGGTATTGAGCTCCTAAAGTCCATCCCAGCTGAGCTGGGCTCAGGGGATCGTGCCCATGGCATTGAGCTCCTAAAGTCCATCCCAGCTAAGCCAGGCTCATGGGATCGTGCCCATGGCATTGAGCTCCTAAAGCCCATCCCAGCTAAGCCAGGCTCATCGATCGTGCCCATGGCATTGAGCTCCTGCTCCTCCCCTTTACCTTTCCAGTTCTCTACATCCCACCTGTGGCTACCTTCACCGTGGGCTTCACTTACATGTGTTGTAGGCCTTTTTGTGGGACAAAATTTCAACCACGTCTTTCTTTTTAAAGTTTTCAGGCATGAGAGTTGGCTCTGGAAGAGAAACTGAAAGATTTAATGGTGGGTAAGGACAGGCTCAGGCGGCTCCAGCGGGAGAAAACCTGCCCTGCAGACAGTGAAACCATGAATGAGAGAGAGGAGAGCGGATGCTTTGCACACAGCAATGGCTCCAGGAATCCTTGAATTCTGCGATTCAAAGATCTCCCCAGTTCGGTTGGTGCTGAAAAAGGTAAAACCAGAGGTGAAACACACAGAAAACCCCAGACTGCTCAGAAACATCCTAAAAACAGTGTCCCCTGAGATGAGCTCCACTTCACCCACTGCCAGCTGGGCATCGTGGCCGTGCCAGGAGAGCTCAGACATCCCACGTTTTTACTGGAATGCCTCCCTCGGGGATCACCAGCACTCCACACCCCCAGCCTGGACCCTGCTCTGGGTTTGTGGCACCCAAAAACTGCTGGCTGGGAGATGCCAGTGGGTCTGTGGGAGCTGAGGAGCCGTGGGGGCTGCACAGGCACAGAGCTCCAGACCCATCGCTGCTCCTGGGACACAGCCACTGATAAAAAGCAAAGAGCTGCTGGTGATGATTGCTTTGGACACAGGAATGTTTTCATGGCCTTTTCAGCGTTTCCAGAGCTCTCAAGCACTGGAGTGGTTTCAGTGCCCAGTGAAACGTGCAGAGAAAACAGATCATGGCAGCAGAGATAATTAAGGGAGATAATGAAAGCATCTCCACCTTAATGATCCGCTGTGCCACCGGCCACAAAATCCTGAGGATGAACAAAATTCATGCCACGGGTGATGTCACAGACAGGCACTGCCTCGCTGCCCATCGAGCCCCAGTCCCTCCCAGTCCCTCCCAGTCCCTCCCAGTCCCTCCCAGTCCCTCCCAGCCTGCACTGGTCTCTGGTACCAGGAGCTATTTTGGGGCTCAGTACTTACTCGTGGGTTTCTGAGTCCCGAAGTGCAGCTCCAGGTCGAGGTATTTGACCATATCACTCAGCTTGTCGTAATCCGAGTCTTCCCCGAGCTGTGGGGCAGGAGGGGTCGGGAGCTGTGCTGGCACACGGTGCCCCCCTGTGCTGCCACGTCCCCCCACACCGAGCTCCGTGTCCCCAGAAGGAACCAGGACAGGCTTGGTGGCACCGTCCTGTGACTGGAGGCAGTGCCCTGCAGCTTCACTCAGCTCCTGACACAGCTGGAATCCTACAGAGCATCCCTGCCTTCACCCCCTCCTCGGACATGATCCCTTTGCTAAAGGATAAAATGGCAATTCCAGGAGCTTCGGGAATTGTTTCTGCACACAGGAAAATCACTGTGAAGTCCCGGAGTGCTGGGGAGAGGGACCTGCAGGATTTGCAGTGTCTGTGGGACTGGAAGGTGACCCCACAGCTCCTCTGGCTGCTCAGGGCACACGGCGTGTCCCGAGCACCGGCAGTTTAACCCCGGGAAGGGATTGGATCCACCGGCACCGCTTCATGCCCACCATGCCACAGGATTGCCATCCCTTGTCTCAGCCCTCAGCTCTGCTGTCCCCTGCGGTGTCCTGCCCTGCTCGGGGCTGTCCCATCACCCTGCTCCAGCCATCCTCATCCTCCCCACTGAACCCCCACAGCTGCACAACACATCTGGAGGCGTGGTAACCCCTCGGGGCAGGGAAGTGCCCCCGGCACTCTGTAGCTGAAATCAGCATCTCAGAGGGTTTCCAGGGCCCGTCCCCGCTGCCCAGCTCGCTCCAGTTTAAAGGACGAGGGGAAGCCCTGCAGAGCCTCAGCGCAGGTCGCTGCTCCCCAGGGCGCGGCTGGGACCCCCATCCTCACCCGTGGGGGCCGTACCTGTCCCCAGATGGTCCCCTCCGAGTTCTCCACCTGCTCCCAGCGCAGTCTCTTGACGCTCATGTGGTTGGAGTCGCTCCTGCGGTGCAGCAGCCCCCGGTGCAGGGGGGGCGCGCAGGGCACGGGGGGCGGCGGCGGCGGAGGAGGAGGAGGAGGGATGGGGTGCAGGTGGCTCACCAGAGCCTTGGGGACCGGTCCCGAGCTGGCCTTGGTGGCCTCCGCCTTGCTGGGGCCGGTCTGGGGGTCGTGGNCCCGGAGTGTCCCCGAGTGTCCCCGAGTGTCCCCGAGTGTCCCCCGGCTCCCTGGGCTGCCCCACGCCGCTCTCACCTCCTCGTAGTCGTTCTCGGGGGTGAGGAAATCATCCACGATGGTGACCCGGTGTCCCAGCTGCTCGCTGAGGGCGTCCAGGAACCGGTCGGTGTCGCGGCTGCGGGGGGGCCTGGAGAAGGTGAAGAGCTTCTTCCGTCGCGACAGCGGCGAGGACTCGCCGTGCTTGGGCGACGGGGCCGGGCTGCTGTCCAGGCTCACGTACGGGTTGGACTCGGTGCTGCACGGGGAGGCCACGCTGCTGTGCAGCCGGTAATAGCAGGGCTGGGTCGCCAGCGGCTCGCTCGGCCACGCCAGCCCCGGCTTGCGGCCACCTGCGGGACAGAGCCGAGGCTGCTGCAGGGGCGTCCTGCAGCCCCCGGCACCGCCACAAGGAGCAGAGGGACAAGGGAGCTTCCCAGGCAGCGGCTGCACTGCCCTGCAGCAGCTGGGATCCCAGGGGATGCAGCATCCCACACACAGCCCTGCCCTGCAGCTGGGATCCCAGGGGATGCAGCAGTGATCCAGGGGATGCAGCAGTGATCCCAGGGGATGCAGCAGTGATCCAGGGGATGCAGCAGTGATCCCAGGGGATGCAGCAGTGATCCCCTGGGATGCAGCAGTGATCCCCTGGGATGCAGCTGGGATCCAGGGGATGCAGCAGTGATCCAGGGGATGCAGCAGTGACCCCCTGGCATGCAGCAGTGATCCCCTGGGATGCAGCAGTGATCCCCGGGGATGCAGCAGTGATCCCAGGGGATGCAGAACCCTGCACACAGCCCTGCCCTGCAGCTGGGATCCCCTGGGATGCAGCAGTGATCCCACAGGATGCAGCAGTGATCCAGGGGATGCAGCAGTGATCCCAGGGGATGCAGCAGTGATCCCACGGGATGCAGCAGTGATCCAGGGGATGCATCTGGGATCCCAGGGGATGCAGCAGTGATCCCAGGGGATGCAGCAGTGATCCCCTGGGATGCAGCTGGGATCCCCTGGGATGCAGCAGTGATCCCCTGGGATGCAGCAGTGATCCCCTGGGATGCAGCTGGGATCCAGGGGATGCAGCAGTGATCCAGGGGATGCAGCAGTGATCCCCTGGGATGCAGCACCCTGCACACAGCCCTGCCCTGCAGCAGCCAGCACTGTGCTCACACCCGGAACCATCATGCCTCCTTATAAAATGGCACCAAGAGGAGGTTGTTTTCTCCTCCACCTGCCCGGCCAGCGCCCCCCAGTGTCACCTGAGATGTCCCCAGGAGGTACCTGCAGCGTGTGGCAGCTCCGGGGCGGGGGGGGAGCTCCTGTGCAGGGCAGCGTTGCCCATCTTGCCAGCAAAGCCCCCGATCAGGCGGTTCTCCAGCTCTGCGTACACAGCCGACATCTGGGGAAGGACAGAGAGCTGCTGCCATGCCCCCCCAGACAGGGCTGTGGACCCCCAGAGACCTGCCATGTCCCCACAGAGCAGCTGGGGCTGTCCCTGGGTCCCTGGCAGTGCCCCAGGCCAGGCTGGACAGGGCTGGGAGCTCCTGGGACAGCGGGAGGTGTCCCTGCCATGGCAGGGCTGGGACAGGATGGGCTTTCAGGTCCTTCTGATCCAAACAATTCTGGGACTCTCATGAGTACCCATCTCTCTGACTCGTTAAAGGGGGGCTTCACCCCAGCCCAGGCCACTCTGCCTTGTCTGAGCCCCCCCAAGAGCCTCTCACTGATGAGGCTGCAGGGAGACACTGGCAGACATCAGCCTCATTAAGGTGACTAATTGCCCAGGGAGGTGACCTCAGAGAGGGGCTCTGAGGCAGGGACAGTCAGCCCCTGCAGGCATTCACCCCCACACGCAGCTTTCCCTTTTCCCTGCTGCCCTGTGTTCACAGAGAAGGGCTCAGACTGCTTTCCTGTGGACACACCACCCCACAGCCGTGCCAGAGGTGTCCCTCGCCCCCTCACACCATTTTGGGGTTGGGTGTCTCCGGGAGGGACGTGCCATCACCAGCCTGTCTCTCCCCAGGGATCAGGCGAACGGGGACCTCCACGGTGTCGCTGCCTGCGGGAGGGAGACGAAGCGGTCACTCCTCTGGCTGTGCCCCAGCTCCCCACAGCCCTGACCCACAAAGGGCTCCCTGTCCCTTGCTGGGACCCAGAGCGACCTCCCTGCCCAGCTCCCGGCTCTGGGGGTCCCTGGGGAGCAGTGCAGGGTGGGTTTAAGGTCAGCACGATGGTTCCAGGCTGCTCTGCTCTTCCCTCGGGGCAGCTGAGGACAGGGCTGCTCCCCACAGCTGGCCAACATCTGCCCAGACACTGCTCCTCCAGCACACACAGCTGCTCTCCGGGCTCTAATCCCCACCAGAAAAGCTCCTCGGAGCCAGGTTAGAGGATCTTCCCCCAGGAAATGTCTCAGACCCCCCTGAGAGCTGAGGAGCACCACATGGGCAGGTGATGGGGAGGTCGTGGTGAGGAGCACAGGTCCTTCAGCATCAGCGGGGATGGGAACAGGCAGGTGTGTGTCCCCAAGGGGAGGGAGGGCTGGGCCACAATGGGGATCATCAAGAGTCTCAAAGCGGCCCTGAACCATCATCTCCTTCCTCACATGGATTTCACAAATGTGGTTTTCCCTCTTTCCCTGTGAATTTGATGGAATCTGAGGCTGTTCAGAGGGAAGCCATAAATGCTGCCCCAGAAGGGAGGGCCCAGACCAGCAGGACCAGTTCACATCTGAGTGATGGAAGGGGTTGGACACAACATTCAGCCTTATGATCAAGTGGCCTCTTACTGAATTGGCTCTTTGGCTGTGGAATCGCTGTCCCTGGAGGTGTCCAAGGTACCCTGGAGATGTCCGAGGTACCCTGGAGGTGTCTGAGGCACCCTGGAGGTGTCCAAGGCACCCTGGAGGTGTCTGAGGCACCCTGGAGGTGTCTGAGGCACCCTGGAGGTGTCCAAGGCACCCTGGAGGTGTCCGAGGCACCCTGGAGGTGTCCGAGGCACCTCTGGGCTGGGTGACAAGGTGGGGATCAGTCACAGGTTGGACTCAATGATCTTGGAGGGATTTTCCAACCTAAATGATTCTGTGATTCTGTGATTCTGTTTCTGAAAACGTGGATTTCCAGCCCGTGCCTCCATGCTGGCTCTGCTCTGACCTCCTCCTTTGCCTCCACCTTTTCCCATTGTTCCCGCTTAGGAGCAGGTCAGGAATTTGGCACAGCAGGACACTGCAGGCACTGTCACAACCCCCAGGTCCCTGTCCCCAGTCACCCACCTGCTGCCCCCTCCTCAGGGCGGGGGGTCCGGAGGCTGCCCCGGCACAGGGAGGCCCCTCGGACGGAGCTGCGGTAGCGATCCTCAGCCTCTGCCTCAGCTGCAGCAGGAAACACCTCGGTGAGGCACAGCCAGAGCCCACAGCTCCCCAACCCTGCTACCCCCAGAGCCCCCCAGAGCCCCCCAGAGCCCCCC